GTACTGGTAGTTGCTATGGTGTTGCTATGCAGTTGATATAGTGTACTGGTAGTTGCTATGGTGTTGCTATGCAGTTGATATAGTGTAATGGTAGTTGCTAGGGTGTTGCTATGGAGTTGCTATTGTGTTCTGGGTGATTTGCAATATGGTTACTTGTGTGTTTTGGGCCATTGGTCGGACATTATATATAGATGGATGGATGGATGAATAGACAAATCAATAGATTTATTTTTATTATTTATTTATTTATTTAATTTTTTTGCATGATTGTTTTTGTGTCCAAGTCTCAAGTCTGAACGGGTTAAAATGACAATTCAGAAGATATTTTTTGAGAACAAGCAGTTTCTTCCTACGAATTACCATCCAGACGGGGTGTTTTGTGTAGAAATGCTTGTCGGCTCTGCTTTTGTTATGTTTTGTTTTATTGCGCTGGCTTTAATTTACCGCTCGAGTAGTTTCCATTTTAAGGTGAATTACTGATAATGAGAAACATCCGCTAGTTAATGTTCACGCTGAGATCGTATGATAGTAAGTCAATAGAGCTTTCAGCACGAGAGATCATGACATATGCTGATCGGAGACACGCCATCCATCTTTCTCTACAGCTTTCATCCCTCTTTCTCACACTAATCCTGATCTCTGGGTCTTAATAAGAGTATTAGCTGAGAGATGATCTACTGTTCTGCAGATATTAGTGGCTTTTAAGCGACTTTGATGGATGGACGATAGTCTTGTGAGTTTGCTAACATTAGCCGCGTTTCGTAACACTTTATTTTGATAGTCCACTTTAGACATTCTGCTATCTATAAGTAACTTTTCAGCTACATCTCAACTAGCTCTCTTTAGTATATTAGTAGCCTGTAGTAGAGTTAGGTTATGATTAGGGTTCGGGTTCGGGTTAGTAGAATAAGATATATCAGATATTAAGCAGATATATTCAGTAGAATGTCTAAAGTGGACTATCGAAATAAAGTGTTACCCAGATTTGCATAATTTTTTTGCGATATTTTCTAAATGCCGATAAAAAACTATTGCTAAATGATGGCGTATGCGTTATGCGACTGAAACGTCATTTTTTCCTATCGCCAAAAGTCATTACAATAATTATGCGACCGGATGTCGGTAGGTTTACGTTTGTATCCCAGCCACTGCGCATTATTATTAATCGACGGAGATGTAGGCGTGTTATATAAGCATTAATGGCTCCTTGGGATGCACGGAATCCAGGATTCGGCCGAATATTGGGCTTTTTGACGGGATTCGGTTTCTGACGAATTTTTCCCACCGAACCCTAGGCTTGCGCTACGGTGGTCGCCGTCATGCCGCTGATTACGTGAAGGTGTTTGCGTAGGGGGACTGTTCGAATGTAGGCTGTGAGAAAATGAAAATGGATCAGAAAAAGTGTTGTTTGGCGGTAGTTTCAGTCAAAAGAAGGCGATTTAAGTCGAACTACAAGTCAGTTTCGGATTCAGAATCTAAACCAGTGGATTCGGTTTCGGATTCGTCTGAATCTTAACCAGTGGATTCGGTTTCGTTTTCGGATTCTGCTGAATCTTAACCAGTGGATTCGGTTTCGGTTTCGGATTCGGCTGAATCTTAACCAGTGGATTCGGTTTCGGATTCGGCTGAATCTTAACCAGTGGATTCGGTTTCGGTGTGGATTCGTTTCGGATTCGGCTGAATCTTAACCAGTGGATTCGGTTTCGGATTCGGCTGAATCTTAACCATTGGATTCGGTTTCGGTGTGGATTCGGTTTCGGATTCAGCTGAATCCACTTAACCAGTGGATTCGGTTTCGGATTCGGATTCGGCTGAATCTTAACCAGTGGATTCGGTTTCGGTGTGGATTCGGTTTCGGATTCGGCTGAATCTTAACCAGTGGATTCGGTTTCGGATTCGGATTCGTCTGAATCTTAACCAGTGGATTCGGTTTCGGTGTGGATTCGGTTTCGGATTTGGCTGAATCTTAACCAGTGGATTCGGTTTCGGATTCGGCTGAATCTTAACCTTTGGATTCATTTTCGGTTTCGGCTGAATCTTAACCATTGGATTCGGTTTCGGTGTGGATTCGGTTTCGGATTCAGCTGAATCCACTTAACCAGTGGATTCGGTTTCGGATTCGGATTCGGCTGAATCTTAACCAGTGGATTCGGTTTCGGTGTGGATTCGGTTTCGGATTCGGCTGAATCTTAACCAGTGGATTCGGTTTCGGATTCGGATTCGTCTGAATCTTAACCAGTGGATTCGGTTTCGGTGTGGATTCGGTTTCGGATTTGGCTGAATCTTAACCAGTGGATTCGGTTTCGGATTCGGCTGAATCTTAACCTGTGGATTCATTTTCGGTTTCGGATTCGGCTGAATATTAACCAGTGGATTCGGTTTCGGATTTGGCTGAATCTTAACCTGTGGATTCGGTTTCGGATTCGGCTGAATATTAACCTGTGGATTCGGTTTCGGATTCGGCTGAATCTTAACCAGTGGATCCGTTTTCGGTTTTGGC